GAACAAAAGCATAGATGGAGTGTTTGTGTGAACTAATATAAATTCAAAGTAAACATCATTACATAAAAGGGTACAGTCTTTTTTTTTTTTAGTTTTATTCATTTCAAACGGCTGGCCCAGGATGTCCGACTGCAACTTAGGCCTGCTCCCCACTGGCAAGTGGACATCCCCCGAGGGCTCCCGGGCTGCCAGAGGGATGTCTGACTGCCAGCTTAGGCCTGATCCCCTGGGGAATGGGCCTAAGCCAGCAGATGGACATCCCCCTAGGGGTCCCAGACTGCGAGAGGGCACAGGCCGGGCTGAGGGACACCCCCGAGTGCACAAATTTTTGTGCACTGGGCCTCTAGTCTAGATATAAAAGGCTAATATGCTAAGTGTCCCTCCTACCATCGGACCAGTTGCTATGATGCACACTGACCACCAGGGTGCAAACACTCAGTGCAGGAGCTGCTGAGCTGCAGTAACTTGGCAGCAGTGGTTCTCAGGTGACGCTCCCTGAAACCATAGAGGAGGGAGCCAGATTCCTCGCGGGGCCTCGTGATTCCACCTTTGGCTCTGGTTTATGTTGTTGCTGGGGCACTGTCAGCCTTGAATCTGGTTTACTGTACACTTGCTTTGGCGTTCCACACCCTGTACAACAGCAACTTTGCAGAGTGCCCTCTTGCACTCCGGGACTTCTCAAAGGATGTCAGAGAGCCGGTTTCGCCTAATCCTTGCAGGCCAGGCCAAGGGACTCCACCTGCCAGAGGGACCCTGCTCACTCTGAGACACCTGGGAGGTACTGTGGGAGGTTGACTCCAGGGCATGTCTGGCCCTTCTTGCCCAGTCCCTCCCCGCCAGCCAATTTCTAATTAATTTCCTTTCAATGTGCACAAATCCATGCATCTGGTCACTAGTATGTATATATTCACTATATCTTCTTTCCTTTCTTTCTTTTATCCTTCCTTCCCTCCTTCTTTCCTAGTTAATACTTGAGAGTTTTTAATCATTGATTTCTCATATCATGGTGAAGGAGAATAAAAGTCCACATGTAATCTATATGTTAATTTAGTAGGATTCAGTAGATGTAATGCAGAGCTAATTTATTTTTGTCTTTCATTGTTTCTTTCAACCTGTACAGAGGGTGGTGTTGTGTCCTTGCCTTCATCAAAGCTTGATGAAGACCCTATACATTTCTAGTTACATTGGATGGTATAAAATCCTTTGGTCACTTTAGGTTGCAAACACAATCTCATTATTTCAGTAAATTAAAGTGTCCAGTCACATACATCAATTGTCATTTGCATCTTCATTCAAGATAACTTGCCTTCCCATTCTTCTGCCAGCTAGGGCCAGCCTTCAGGAGGGCTTTTGGTTTTTGAAAAATGGACCTAAGCATTCTTCATTCTATTTGTCACTCAAGTGTCACCCTACTGCTGGATGCTAGTTTTAAGCCCTGAGGGGCTGGCATTGATACAGAATTTTTGGACTGGAACCTGGATTCTTTGTCCACTGGAATCAAAGAATGTGGTATAGCAAAGCTGGAGATTTAAAGAACAACAAGTACAGACTCCCACGTGGGGAGAAGGAAAGAGTGCCACAGAATGGACTCCCAAGTAGGGAGGGGGAAAGGGTCCCGCTGAGTTCCTTTTCCCTATGGCTTATAAAGGCTGCAGTTCCTGGTGCCTTGATATCCCATCTGATTGGTCACTATTCCCTTGGACTAGTTACTATAGTAACTCCTGGGCTCAAAGGTTGAACCTCACAAGGGACATGTGAGGTTCTCCCCCCCCACACACACACACTCCTTCCTTATTGTTTTTCTATTCCCTCTGGGCTTTCTTCTTCTCCCTCTGAATGAAGGGCTTCCTTCTCTTTATTCTGTAAATATAGACCTTTTGCTGTTCCCAGCTCCCTCATTCTATGGAAATGTACCTGTTGCAGATTCCAGCTCCCCCATTCTATGGAAATATACCTTTTGCTGCTCTGCAGCCCTGTGCTTTCCTCCATGGTCCCCTTAATTTCCAAAATTTCTAAAGTTTCCTAAACCTGTCCTATTTTACCCCTAAAATCCCTGTTTCAGTATGAAGGGAAGGAAGATGAAAAAGAAGGCTAATTAAGTTCCTCCTTGACTACTGCTGCTGCATGCAGGCCTAACAGATTTCTAAAGCTTTGGTTTGCATTGCAGGGTCCTTCGTGGGTTCCTTGAAGGCAACGTGTTTGTGTCCTCAGACTACAGCTTCCATGATGTGAGTGATGTCTTTCAGTTTTCTGATCATATGGATCCCCTGTAGTTTCTGCCTCCAGGACCCACTAACTACTCTCATCTTTTGGCTATTGGAGAGTGTCTTCTTGGGTAGGGTTCCTTTTGAATGACCCACAGGCTAATGTTCCTTTTGTATGTGTCACACTCTGTCCCTGGAATTCATGCGCTTTGACCTGCCTGTTCTCAGTTGGAAGTGCAGTTACTGTCCAGCTGCACTTCCAACTGGGATGCATGAGTCACCTCAGTCTCCCCCTGGAGGAAATCCGTGTCAGGCTTGCTGAGTGTGCCTGTTAAAACCTCTCCCATTAGACTGGGATGATTTCTCAATCAGCCCACCTCCACCCATTGCTTTTCTGGGAAGGAAGAGTGAGTCCAAGCACAGCAACCTAGCAATCTTCCTTACAAAATCTTTACTCTTTTGACCCTTAAACTATTCCCACTGCCCAAGTTAGCATTGCTAATTACTATAATAATTATCACACTAATATTCTTAAACCAAAACCTTTATTTTTCTTGGTCACTGGAAAAGACCTCATTTAAGATATAATTTCCTGCTCTAATAAAACCAATATGTTTTTCTTAGGAATTAAAAAACATGCTCTCTGCTAGGAACAAAGCTGAACATCTGATGGATATCAAAAAAATTTTGAGAAATGGCCTACTTTTACAATTGCTACAGCTGCTGTAATTTGTTAAAACTAGTCTTTGAAAGTAAAAACAAACAAACAAAAACCACATAAAGGTATAAAGGAGAAAGCACATATTTGGGGCTGCCCGACCTCTGACTTCAAACCAATTTTCTCTCCCTTTGTCACTAAGAGGTACTTTTTCTAAACATTAAAAAAAATAAAGTCAATTAAACTTTATCTAAAGGAAGAATTGAACTTGGAAGCTAGTGCTATGATTTACACATTCAATAACCATTCGTTCTCTGCCTTGTTTGGCTGAAATTTAATAAGATGCCTTTGTAATTTAATAATTGCAGAGTCTAATTCACTAATTATATAATGCAACCATGAGAAACTCATAACAAAGAACTAAAAATCTAAATATTCATATTTAAAAAAAACTCATATACAACTGCCAATGTTCATTGCGTTCACTACTTTTTGCTGTCATATCCTAAAACTTAATAAGCTGATACATCAAACATCAAGACTGATGACACAAAATAGCTGTGATTTCCAGTTATTATCTCTAAAGGCAACAAGCAGGATGTGGAAATGTTTGCTTAAAGGTGAGAAGCAGGTCCTAAAACAATAAAACTGAAAGAGGAAGAGCCAAAACCCCTGACACAGCTCTTGGGAAGGGGATGATAAGGTCTGA